ATCAAAAACTCTTGGCGTGAGTAAGATTTCTACATTCCTTGGAAAACATCAATAGACGACTATCTTTAGATTGTCATAAGTTGATATAATTTTTCCACCAATGTCGTTAAAATAAAGTAAAATTCAAATTATAAAATTCTTCATTAATTTCAAAAGATGCCTTCTTTGCATTTAGTTATTTATTATTAGTTATACATATTCGTGGCTCACAATAAACTTGCCATCTACCTCGGTATTCAGCAAATATGATATCAAGGAGAAGAAATGATAGCATAAAAAAAAGAATAGTAATAACAAAACAAAAAGACAAAAAAAAAAAAAGTAGTAAAATAACACATACATAATAACAAACACACACACAAAAAGATAATGCAGCAAGTAGCTCAATGCAATAATTCTCTTGGCCAGCGCCTCAGCAGTCTTCTAGGCGGATTATATGGATTTGTGGCAGCAGATAGAGCTTGCATTTAGTTAAAATGGAATGTTCAAGTAAAATGTTTGTGGTGAGGATTCAAATATTGTAAGAAATTGTCACTTTGATAGCACATATATAAATATTTAAGCACATGCAGAAAATATATATAGCAAGAAAAGTAATAAAATTGTACAATTAATTTCAAAGCTGAAAATAACCACTTAGTAGTTAGTTCAATTGGCATAGTATTATAAATACGAAACAAAATTGAACTATTATCGAATAGCGAAGATATCTTATTTAGAAGATAAGTTAAAAATATATATAAATGGAATTCATAACCTAATAGAACATACCTAACAGCTTTAGTCTTGAGTAACTAACGTAAACGAAGGCTGCTACTAGGTATATTGCGCTGGTACTGCACAACCACTGGCTTCATACTGGAACCAGGCCCCACCAAGTTCTCCCTCCAGCGACTTCTTCGCTCCAGTGCTCCTCAACCTTTCTCCATTCTGCTGATAGAATACCTGAAGCTGTTAGCCAACCGTTCATGAAGCTGTATGGTCTCTAATCCACAAAAGCGATGTCACCGAGAAGATGGCGTGTGATAGACGGTTCGACGAAAGGACACGAAGAGAAATTTCGCGAAGGTTCTCCACTATGCTGGATTTATTAGCCACGCATGGTTACCAAGCACGGGGACAACTCCGGAAAATACAGAGACAATAGATTACGTATGTTGCACTACAGTTTATTTAATAGCTTACATCCTAACGTTATAACATTAGCTTACCGTTATTTTAGTACAGCAAATAATGTTCCTATACAATTGAAATATTAGGTCTGTAATCTGTTAAACTCTAAATATTGGATTTTAAAGAATGGTCAGAAACGTTGCCAATAAAAAATAGTATCAGGGTACCACCAGTAAAAAAAAACTACGCATTAAAAAAAATATAACAGAATAGTAGATGAAGGATACCAACATCTCCTTGTAAATCACAAATATAATTTGTGTGAACCCTGAAACTTCTGCCAATACTCAGAAAGACGAAAGAATGTGAGGTTCTGCTGAATGGAAAATAAGAAAATTTGTGGACCCCACAGAACTTTACTAGATTTGTATTTAGTAGAATTTATGTGGCGCCAAAAAATTAGAGAGGCCGATCCATCTATCTCAATTATAAAAGATTCATTACTTTTACAATGATTGTCTTCAATTCATATTTAATAAATATTTTTTTGCACTACATGTTTTTAATTATAATTTTTAAAAAAACTTAAAGTTTTTTACTGCTAGGACAATAACAGAAAAGTACGGTAATTAGATTGGAAATGTAACTTAACATGTAGAATTATGAGAAATTTAAAATATTCCGCAACCAAAATTAAATTTTGCGTGGTAATTGTATTTGTTAACTCATGTATCAATAGTAAGTAGAAGATCGATTAAAATTTAAAATACAATAAATAAAAAGTAAATAACCTTATAAATAATAATTTTTTTTTTCTATGTTGGCATTACAGACCATGTAGATCTTTTGCCGCCTTAACAAGCCTGCTCCATCTCTGCCTGTCTTGGGCTATTTCTTTCCATTTATCTGCAAGCAGCTCTGTTGCATCTTTGTTGATTCTATTTATCCATCTGGTTTTTGGGCTTCCACGTGGTCTTTTGCCTTCTATTGAGGCATTCATTGTTACGTAGAGGCTTCCAGATGGATTGCTACGAGCTACATGTCCCGCCCATCTTAACTTCCGTGCCTTCATATCATGGGATATTGATTGACCAGTTTCTGTAAGCAGTTCTTTATTGGTCTTTCTTCTCCAAGTGTTAGTAGTGTTTGTTCTCTGATCCCAGATCACTCCGGTTATCGTGCGGAGGATTTTCCTCTCAAATCTTTCAACACTTTTTTCTAGGATGCTGGTTAGTGTCCAGATTTCACCGCCATATATTAGAACTAGCTTTATCATAGCATTGTACGCCCTTAGTTTGAGATTTCTTGATTTTTGGGGGATTTCAATATCTTTGAGAGGGAGAAGAAAGCTCTGTTTGCGCTAGTTATACGCTGCCCTATTTCTGCCTGTTGGTCATTCATTGAGGTTATTGTGGAGCCGAGGTATTTGAATTTTTTAACTATCGCTAATGATTTTTCTTCTACGCAGATCCTGTTATTGGGATGAAATTTTCGGCTTATTATCATATATTTGTTTTGTCTTTATTTACTTGTAGGCTGATCTGCTCTGCCTCTCTTATCAGTGTTCTATAGAGTTTCTCAATGTCTTCTTGATTACTTCCAAAGACAGTTATATCATCTGCGTATCCAAGGATTTTATGATTTATTCCGAAGTGGACCCCTCCATTTTCCAGTGATGTTGCTCATATTGTCTTCTCCAGGGCTGTGTAATAACATCGGCGACAGTCCATCTCCCTACCGTAAGCCCCTTCGAAATTTGAAGGCTTCAGATACTTCTACTTGTATTAGGACTCTAAATTTGGGGTCATTTGTACACGCCTTTTTCAATCTCACCAACTTACCTGGAATTCTCAGTTCAGTGATGATTTTCCAAAGACAGCTCCTGTCCACAGAATCATAGGCTGCTTTGAAATCGACAAATAGGGCGTGGACGTCCTGAGCTACTACCCATCATTTTTCGAGTACTTGTTTAAGGATGAAGTCTGGTCTATCTGGTTCGTTCGTGAGGTCCTCTTGAGATTGAGAAGTTTCTGGAAATGTTCTTTCCATATGTTCAATATACTTTATTTAGATTTCGTCAGAATGCCTCGAATTTGTATAGTTCTCGCTTTATATCCTATCCTTTCTTTCCTAATGTCAGCGTAGAATTCGCCTATATTTCCAGTCTCTCAGTTGTCCTCAATGGTTTGCAATATTTCTTTTAGGAGTTCCCTTTTTTCCGATCATTTAAATACTAATATTTCCTAATATATACTAATAGTTCCTATCTAACTGATAGATACTTTAAAGTGAATCACAATTATGCTTATTCATCCCTCTTTTCCCAGTCCGCTGGTGTTCCTCAAGGTAGTATCCTAGGTCCCCCCCATCCTTTACACAGTTTATACAGGTGACATCCTAACCCATCCTAACACTGTCATCACCATGTATGCCAATGATACGTGTTTTCTATCAGTTAATAATGACGCAACAATTGCATCCCAAATTCTTCAATCACACATCACAAATCTTGAAGCATGAATTAAATAATAAATAGCATGAAATAAATTCCAATAAATCTCATCAAATCATCTTAAACCATCATTGTAAACCTATGCCATCCTGTCCTATTGTATCCTTTAAAAATACTCCACTTATCCCAGTTAAACAAATCCGATATCTTGGACAAACTTCTAATTTGGAATCCGCAAACCAGACTGAAACTACTCGACGTTTCTGATTTCTCCAGCATTTATTAGACAAACACTCTAAGCTTTCAGTTAATTAAAAAAGGCTCATGCACATGAGCTACAATAAGACCTATTTACGGAGTTGAAATTTGGAGCTCCACAAAGCCATCGAATTCCTCATGTACCCAATCCTTATAATCCAAAACTCTACCAGAGTGCTACCAGTGCGTAGTTTCTCAATAAGTGTTTTCATGTAATTATTTTCTATTATCATACAATAGTAAATATCATAAATAAATAATAAAATTGTTTACATTGTTGTTAGAATTGCATTTGATTTATTAAAAATGCAACTGGAACAACAAAATATTGATAGTCGCTCAAATGCAGTCAAAGAAAAATGAATAGAAAGACAAAATGAAATTAAGAAATGACACAAAATAAAAGATTACATATATAATAAAAAAGAACTCACCATTCTCCATTTTTATAAAAATTTAATCTTTCGATAATTTTTTTTCCCTTTCAGCTGAAGTCAGTGTTTAACCAATAATATCTTTTCTTGTTAAAAAATACCTGTTCAAATATTTTTTTTGTATTTAAAGTCTTTATTTTAAAAACTAACTTAAATTATTTTTACTTAAAAAATGTCTATTCCTCCCCCTCGGGTCCCTAGAGAATACTCTTGAAAATTCAGTCAGGCCTATTTTTAACCACTCATTGCCATTGTTATTCTTCGGTCTGAAAATTCAACAGTTCCTATTTCTTATTTATTTAATTAAACATACTTGCATTGTTTATATTAATCCATTTATTATTACTAACAGCGGAAGATGGTTACTTATTTCAAATAAACAAAATTAAATATAGTTTAGGAAAAGGAATTTGTCATTTAGACTATTTAAATAAGGTTAATATCTACCTGATATAAAAGAACATTTAATTTTACATTGGTATAACAACTAAAATTGTTAGAGCTGTTTTCAAGAAAACTGGAAAAGCAAATACACACCCTTTCTTTGTTTATATTTTTCTTAAAGTTTTTTAACCCAAGGAAGCTATATAAATTTAGACCAAAACGGACAAAAAATGCTATGTTCTTTTCAAAGTCACTGTCTGATTTCCTGACAATCTATAACACTAATTAGAATTTGGAGGAAAATATATGATCAAAATAAATACTATACATTTAACACTAGGTGTCAAGAAACACTAACATACAATAAATAATGCTTATATTTTAATAAATAAAACATCTTAGCCAACCTTAAAAAAACAAATTTTTTAACAATAAGGCACAAAATGTGATTACAGATCTTATGAATGAGATAGATCTTAATATTTATGTTAAAAATTAAATCAAATCGTATACCATGAACTAGAATCTAATAACACATATGTAACATATGAGGCGATCAAAAGATCCAGTTAAGACATTATCCATTAATAACACACCAGGCTTGGGCATTACTATTACTTAAATAGAATAAATTTAACAATATATTTTTTTTTTAATAATTATTCATGATCTTCATCATTCATCATTTAAAAGATTAATTTTATGAACCTTTAATGTTAAAATGATGCCTTAATTAAAATTTCATAAGCTAAAAGTTTAAAATATATTACATATTTTGTGAAATCAAATAACTGCCAAATTTAAACTTTTCAAAGAAACAAAAAAAATCAAATTTTTATCATATTTAATTTTTTTTAAATATTGAGAACTATAATGAGATTCACATTGAGACAGACGATCTACTCCAAACTTGTAAATATATTATACATTCATCTTGGAATAAAAAAAAATTACAAATAACAAATAATAAGTAGTAAAATATTATTATTCTCTATTAGCAGTAAACGATTTAGTGCCCAAGCCTATAAAGTTACACAGCAAAAGTATCCAGAATAAATATAAAAATCTGGAATTAAAAATAAATCACTAATTACAGATCTACTTTTATTAAACAAAGATAAAAAAAGAATGTTTACATAATTCTAGCATGCATAATGTATTCATATACATACACATATTATCTGCCAGATAGCAAAACAATAATTGAAAATTATATTTAAGTAACCTTAAAACATCTGCAAGTAAAAACTTTATAATAAAATAGTATGTGATAACATTTCATTGCTTTGCTTTAACCTTAAAGCATCTGCAAGTAAAAACTTTACAATAAAATAGTATATGATAACATTTCATTACTTTGCTATTTTTAAAATACTTTAATTTGGATCCTTTGCAGTAGTATTCTACAGGACTTGTAATCAAATTTAATAAAATAATTAAATGAAAAATTAACATGAGAATATCACTTTATCTTAGGAAGCCCGTTGAACTTACTCAACAAGGTTGAGAGGACTAGAATGGTCCATATTTAAGTACAAATATAGTAAGTACAAATATAGTTAATCATAAATATCATTATCTTCTGAAATGTGAGAAAAGTCAGTTCTAACTTCACAATGGTCTGTGAGCTTGGGTTTGTATTATTCTCTGAAAAAACATTTGTTGTAATTAGTTATGGCTGATTTAAATGTAGCCTTTATAACACTAAAAAGTATGAAATACGATCTAGCATGCTGAACATATATCATGCAAAAAGAAGGTACTGAGCATATTATAAAAACTCATGCAATATTTTATTACAAGAGTACATTTGATGCAATGTGAGACACTCCAGTATCAAGAAAATATTTCAAGTGTCACACTGAACATCTTACATTTTAAAATTTGTGTAATAATTATTACTTTTTATCACTTATGACATTGAAAAATGCATATTACTATCAATAAATAACAATTTTTATATAATTTTGTTTTTAATTAATATAAAAGTTTAACTTTTTATATTTTAATCATTAATAATTAGTTGTGTTATAATGATATATATTTCTTGTAAAGTTTATGAGAAAAAATGGTCATTGGTATTTCAGGAACATACTTTTTTATTTAATTAAATACTGGCAACAACATGAAAGAAAGAGATGTTTCAGTGATGCAGAAAACTGGAAAATAGAGGCATCCCTTGGGATTTAAAAAATAAATAACCGAGGACTTGAAGTCTCTAAAGACACTCCCATATACAGCATAAAAATCTAAATGCAATGAAAACTCAGGCCATTATTATAGGTTCCAGTTCTATTCTTAAATTCATCTCCTTTCTTCATTTAGTCATCAATGATCATCCTGTCACATTCAGCTCCTCTGTTAAAAACCTAGGAATTACCATGGACGAAAACATCTCTTGGAAACCCCATATAGCCCTCATCTCCTGTAAGTCAATAGGTACCCTTCAGCTATTTCTTCGCTCCCGCCACCTACTCCTACAACCCATCCGCAAGCTCCTTGTATCCTCTCTTATTTTCTCCTACTTGGACTACAGTTGTGTGGTGTACAGAGGCATCCCGAAGGTACTCGAGGATAGATCGAAGCGACTCAAGAATACCTGATTAAGATTTGTCTTCGGTACATCGAGGCGGTCTCATGTGTCCCACCTTTATGATGAGTTAAAGTGGCTCTTCCCTTCTTTCCGCAGACAATATTTCCTTGGATCTTTCCTATTCCAAACGATCAACACCCGACACCCTTCCTACATCTACAGTCTCCTACAATTCAAACCCGTGGTCCACTCCCAGAAAACAAGATCCCGTGTTTCCGACCTTTATATCCCTTCCCATAGAACCAAGACATTTGAATATTCCCTTATTGCTCGATTCATTGCCTTCTGGAATTTCTTGCCATCTGATATCTGCCATGCCTCTTCCATGTCCTCATTTAAATATCATCTCTACCAATTCCTTCTCATATCCCAAAATGACTTTATACAATGAAATAAATATTGCGAAAAAGATTTTGACTGAGGTGAATGGTTGTTAAAATTGATTGAGTTTTAATTTTAAAAATCAACCCATGATTACATTATTTTGTTTTGTTTTTCATTTAAATAATTTTTTTTTTTCAAAATGGTGTTATTTTTACTAGTTTTAATATACTTTTACTGAGATACTGTATATTTTCTTTAATATTGATTAATGCAATTTTTGGCCAGATGTAGTTTTTATTTTTTTGTTCATAACTGTTATTCATAACGGACCTCCTCCCAGAATAAAGTTTACTTTCTATCTATCTATCTATCTATCAAAAATACTCAAGAACAGGGAAATTGAGGAGGTAACTAAAAAGTTTCTAATTTCAAAAGGAAAAAGGTTAATGCTTAAGGGCATAAGTGATGCAAAGAGAAATTTTATATGCAATGTTCTTTCAGAAAAGGGCAGATCTAAAATATTTCCATGATCTATAACTGCTGAGTAGAATTTTAGAAATAATATTAATGATTTTAGAAACAGGAAAGGATAGCAGGTGATTCAAATTTAAAATCACTTAGGGACACAGGTGAGGGGAGGGGAGAAGCTTTCGGGCTGAAGCCCTCCCAAAATGATAAAATGTAACCATGTTTTATGAAAAGAAATATTAAAAACTTATCTATTTAAGTATTGTTGTACGTATAATTACATTCAATAGGACTTCAAGAATCACTTAAACACCATTTCATGTAGGTAGTTAGTATCTTTCTTTTTTTCCAAAATAATTATCTTAATATACATGAAAAAAAAGAAGTTTTCGGGCTGAAGTCCCTCCAAGATTAAATCCTGGATCCGCTAGTGCTTAGGAACAATAGACAAAAAAAGAAAGAAAAGAAAAGGAATTGGGTGCTAAATAGAAGAGAAATTTTTGCCTAAAGAGTCTATGACGTAAAGTTAGTCTAATTATTATAATGTATAAAAAAAGAGTCAAATTAATTATTTAGTAGATAAAAAAGAAGTCACAATCTACATTTTTAGGAATTGAAACTAATATTTATACAAGACTTTCTAGTTTTTTTTTTATATGTATCTAATTAAACCAACTTTATTTCAAAAACTATTTTCATATCCATTTTATAAAATATTTAAAAAATAATATAAAGTTATTAATCCTAAAAAAAAGAAAAAAAAGAATTTTGTATAAAAAAAAATATCTCCAGTCTCAAAAAATATAATACAAAAAAAAAAAGTAATACTAACTAAAAACTTCCTATAGCATTCGATACTAGCCAAGCACAAACTTAAATTCAATAAAAGCATGTTTGATAAAAAATCAATACATCACGAATGGTTTCATGCATTTTATGTGCAGAGAGAAAATAAAATGGGAAAAGGAAAAATATTAGAAATGGAGCAAGTGTTTACTTGAAAACTGGAGACTGCCTAAGTACCTTCGTAACCCTCTCAAAAGAACTTTTCCACTTTTTTTGAGGGGAATAGTTGCCATTTAAAGACTTGAATGATGACTGAAAAACACATATACTTTTATCTGACTCAAACTATTAAATCTTTAAAGAAGATAGTCGTATTAACTTTGTTGAATTCAAAAACAAGGTTCTCCCTTTAATTTGTAGCATGCAGTGTTTCATTAATGTAGCACATGCGATAAAAACTTGTTAGGTCAAACTCACACACTGGAAAGGGGGGTCATTGTTGTAGCAAATGTCTCTTCTCAATCTGGATATAAAAAAAATTGGTAAATCAGTACAAGTCAATGAACAGAGCAAACATAAATAAAAAAATAATAAACCAAAAAATTATAAATTGCATGTTAGAAAAAAAAGATAAATCTATTTTAAGCAATCACATCATGCAAAAAAAATTACAAAATTAGTTTAGAATTTTTTCCCATTGAAGAGAATGGGGGGTAGCACAGACTGAGCTATTTATTAAAAATAATCACACACAAAATAAATTATAAATTTATTAAAATGGTTGGGAAGGTAGTTGGGGGCTGCACCCACTGAGAGAAATAAAACAAAACAAAAAATTCATTTATTTTTTGTCAATGTTTTAGCCAAAGTTTCAGGACTTCATTAGGGCTAAGGAAAAACAAGAAAGATAATGGATAAATGAATTCTAAGAAGTGAATAAAAATTATGTTACATAAGAAATACTAAACTATATAAGTATTGTATGTAATGGTAAAGCATGAAAATATATGTAAAATAAGATAGATAGTACACTTTTTAAAATTTAAATATAAGAGGATAATAAAAAAAAATCAATAAATTAGAGAAGAATATCAAGTAGTGAAAAATAATATTAATAATTAATGTTTGGAAAATATCTGATACCGTAAGGTATATAATTTTTTTTTTCCATAGGAAATTCTAAAGTAATAATAATAAAGAAAACACAGACAAAATAATGGTAACAAAATAAGAGAGAGAAGTAGAATAAAACGGTACAACTGCTCAACTATGTTGAGTTGCTACAACACTCAGCATTTTGATCAGCAAAGATGGACAAATGCTACTCTGAGCACCGAGAAATAAGTATTTTATTCAAATACTGACTTTTTTTATTACCAAAGAATTTAATTACTGCTTCGTTTGATGTAAAACGATTAACTGAATTAGTGATTGAATTCCCAATAGTAATTCAATTTGAGTAAAATACTTGGAACTCGGAACTCAGAGTAGCATTTGCCCATCTCAACTGATCAGTCATAATCGATATTATTTAGTGATTAGTGATTAAAGGATAAATTTTTGCCAGGGGATCATCCAAAGTACCAAACATCATAATCCATTTATTCATTTCTATAATTTTCTCCCCACAAAAAATAAAAATAAAATAATGAGCAATGAAATAACAAAGAAATGAAATGTAATATTTAGTAATGTAAATAACTCCGAGAAATTAGTCGCAAATAAAAATAAATAAAGTGTGGTTATTGCTATAATCACTATATCGCTAAATTGATGTCATGATATGTTCTGTACAAGTGAAATAAACATAAAATTATGATAAGCATAGAATAATAATAATAATAATGATAAGCATAGAAATAAATTATAATGTATAAGAATTTTATAATGGAGTAAGTAGAAAATAATAAGATGTATTGATATCTATAGAAACTTATGTGATTCTATACACAGTGATTCTTATAAAACATGAAACAATATAAAAAAAAAAGGTGGTAAGAATATGAAGCGAAGAAAGCGATAAAAGGCAGGATGTGAACAAAATGGTATAATAGAATATTACAAAAATATTTTTATTTTTGTTTCCCTCTATGACTGCGACCCCCAACTGGTTTCGTAACCATATTATCTTCAGTCAACTATTCCTCCACCATCAAAAATATATTCATAATTGCTATGATGAGCAGTAAACAATTAAAACAATAAAATAAATAAGTATTAGCATTATTACATATATGACCAACAATCAGTTTCACCTGATTGACTATTTTTTTAGTTGTTTTTTTTACTCCATTCTCAAATAATACTTGCACACTCCGTCCATATCTGATGTGATTGGAATTAGATTTATTAAAACATATTTCTTATTTTACATTAACATCTCATTCTGTTAGAGTTCATTGTTTGGCTTTTAATATATTCTGTTTATTTAAAATAAGTAACAATAATTTTATCATAACCTCTGAGCAACGGGGAGGAGTCAAAAGTTAAATGAAGAAATAAATTTTGTTAACAATGAAATTAAAATGAAAAAAATACATGGATAAATAGATTTCCCAATATTAGTTATTTCAAAACTATTTCTGGCTACCATTATAACCGGTTGACAGCCAGTACCAGAGGTGGGCAAATGCTATTCTGAGTACTGAGTACCCATTCAGTATTTTACTCAAATACTGATCTTTTTTGAACACTAAGAAATTTAATTACTACTTCAGTTAATTTAAAACGATTAATGGGGAAGTAGTGATTGAATTCCCAATAGTGATTCAATTTGAGTAAAATACTTGGTATTCGGTACTCAGAGTAGCATTTCCCCATCTCTGACCGGTACTACCCACCTTTCTCCTGTTTATTTTAAAATTTAAAATTAAAACAATTTTATTATTATAGTAAATTCAAACTTTTCTTCAACTAGCAAGCAAACAAGTCTTCAAATAATTGAAGCGTGGAAGTGCGAATGTCTTGAAGTGCCTTCAGCAACATTATGACCCAAATTTTTTTGACATATCACAATTCTCTTTGCCATATTAAATATTACAATAAATGTTGACAGATGTTTTTAACACAGCTCTGATCTGACCTATCCAAAAGAAGGGCTCCATATATATGTATATCCATATATATGTTAAGTAGTTACGAATGCATAGCACTGCTTCTTGTTCCACACAAAATAATAGCTAATATCTTCCTAATCTGGATATATTGGTATTACAATAATATAGTAGGTAGGTGCTGATGATCTCTGGGTTTTACGCCTATAAGCACTAAATAACAACAATATAGTAGATGACCACTAAGTAGGATTCAGAAGTGGAAGGAGCATGCCAGACTCTTAATTGTAAAACAGGTGCTTGAAAAAAGATAGTATACGCTTTATTTGTCTATTTCAAAGCAGCCTATTATTCCGTCGACAGAAGAGTATTTGGAAAATAATGACTGCGGAGGTTCAAGAAATAAGTTATATTGATGAAGAGTGTACAAAGAATCCAAAATGTTGAGGCCTGATATCAGGAGAAGAGAGACCATAAGCATTTTACATTCTCGAGTCCAGCTGTGCCAGTTCGAATCCAGCCTAGGAAGATTGGAATTTATTTCATGGTGGACCCATGGAATGAATCTCAATCTTCAACTCTGGTTAGAATAGGTTTGGTAGTACCTGTAGAACAACCTTCTCCTATGCCAGAAATAGCGAGATAAGGAGTAAGCAGAAGAACAAAATGAAGGAAAAGTATTTGAAGCCTGGTTTGTGGCAGGGAGAAGGACTGTCATCTATTTTGTTCAACTTAGCACTAGAAAATGTGAAAAAAACAAAAAAAAAACAGCACATGAAGAGTATCATGTTCAGTACCCCATGACCTGTATAGTTCAGTGGATAAAGTGCCAGATTCCAACAATGAAGGTTCCCAGTTCGAAACTGCCTTGTTTATGTTCTTTGGAGGTCATGATGGCCAAGTGTGTTTAGCATTCTCGTGCCTAACAACGTCGGTTCCAAACTGCTCTGGGAGAGGTTGACTTTTATTTTCTGGCGGACCCAAAGAATGAAACTAGACCCTCCCATTCTGGTTAGAGTAGGTTTAGTTGTAAATCTAGAACCTCCCCTCCCCTCACGTAAGCGTAAAAATTAAATAAAAATGATTCAGTACCTTGTAAGGACAGAAAGTACAGTTTCTTGATCAATGGTTGTGCAAGGACTTAATTTCAACAAGATCACTCTCAATCTTCAGGATTTTCCCTTAGTTAACCATTTCAAATTGAATAATAAAATCCAAGGATATGGAAATTATACAGAGGTCTATGGTAGCAATCAAGAAAACATAGAGACTAACTAAACTTGTGATCGGAGAAACAGAGCTATTTGGCCTAAAATTAAATGAAAATAAAACCAAATACACTACAGTAACAGGATTTGCATAGAAGGAAAATTTTTCTCAAGATTAGACAGATTTAAATATCTCAGCTCCACAATAACCTCAGTCAATGACTAACGGTTGGAAGTAGATCAGTGTATAACATGTGCAAACAGGGCTTTCTTCTCTCTTTCAAAGGTATTGAAATCCTGAAAAATCTCAAGAAACCTCAAATTAAGGGTGTACAATGCTGATAAATTCAGTTTTCACCTGCACACTAACCAGTACCTTAGAAAAAAGTATTGACAGATTTGAATGGCAAATCATCCAGTAAATAAAGCATGAGAGTATGACCAATAGTGAAAAAAGACCAATAGTGAAAAAGGACCAATAAAGAATTACTAACAGAAACTGGCCTCATGACATGAAAGCAAGGGGATGAAAATGAGCTGTACCTGTACCTCAAAGAAAGCCTCTACACATCAATGAAAGTATTTGGCAAGAGACTATGTAGAGACCAAAAACCAGATGGATAGACAGAATCAACAAAGATGCTATAGAGCTGCACGCAGCAAACTGGAAAGCAATAACCCAAGACGGGCTATTAGTGGAGAAGGCTGGTTCAGTCTGGCCAAAGATCTACCAGGTCTGTAAAGTCAACAGAAAACAAATTATATATTTTTATTTTATTACTTATACAACCAAAGGTGATGAAGTCTTATTCCATCGATGTAAATCAAATTCGTAACATGATTTCTGAAACATTTTGATAAAGGCACATACACCCTTTTGCATTTCCATGCTTCAATTTCTCATTGCAAATAAATAAGCATTTTAATTATAAACATAAGACCATTTTCAGGTGATTATAGGTATCGCTGGCACCATGATAATGGAACAAATGTAAGCATGTTTAATGTTGAAAATTCTTTACTTTCACATGGTTCCAGCGATATAATCACTAACATTTATAATTTGAAAATCACGCAAAAGAAACACAAAATTTATTAAATATAAAAATATATAAAAATGATGAAACTAAAAACTAGAAAAAAAAAAGAGATAAAAATTATTATTAGGTTATTGTTGGAAGTTTTCAATAACCAAAACATTTAATCTCAAAGTTCATTTTGTCAATTTAGACATCATTGGGACTACAGCTTGTGAATAAATTACAATACTGGAGCCTTAAAGAATAATTTGTTAGTGCAATAATTTCCTGTGATTGATAGCATAAAAAATTTAATGAAAATAAAGATAGTACTTCTCCAAATAATAGTTTAAACCATGATATGAAAATTGAGAAACTAAATGATAAAGAATCCTCTAATAACAACCTAATCACAATGTTAATTCAAAACTCGAAAAGCCATATTTAGATAAAATAAGTTTCATACTTATCTCTGTCAATTCATTAAAAGATTTTAAATATCAACAAATTATTCAATTTATCTTTCCTTCTTTAAAAGATTATTTTTTCTCAAGGCTTTAACATTTCTTACAACTCTACATATCCTTCACATAGCATAAAGAATGAATGGTTCAGCAATTAGGAAATGGAGGAGTTCTTAGAAATAAATGAACCTTTTCTATGAAAAGGTTATTCATTAAATCACTTTCAATGTTATGCATTTCATTCACACTATTAAAATTATGAATTAATTTTTTTCTTTGGGAGATTGGTATAACAGATTATAAAGAGTTGAATGTAATATGGTCTCGTGGACAATATTTATTGCTTGCTTTGAGCATAGACAGGCTGGAGATGGCCACCCAATCTGATATTATTTCAAACCATGGTGCAGTGAAATGCCAATCATTTTAGGTAAATTTCAGCAGTTGAAAATCCAACAAGTTTTCTGATTACGGTGCACTAACGCTGCCCGGTTGATATATATCGCCTTCATCAGACTGATGGTCCTTCTATACTCAAGGAAGGAAATTGAATAAGAAATCTTGGACAATGCGGCTTTCTGTGGAGAACGGTTATCCATTTTGGTGATTCACCCAACTGCTAATCACATTCGATGTTGCATAAATTTTTATCTATTGCAAGAACCTCACTCTCTAGGTACCCAATTTTTTTTTTAATTATAAAAATTAAATGAATAAAAAGATATTAGACGATTATTAACATTAAGGAGATAAATAATGAATTACTTTTAAAAAATTGAGAAAACTTCTTAAGATTTCTTCACAATAATGGGCGAAATAATCATTTTTTATTATTGTTTTTCAAAACAATTGCCAATCTGATTAAAAATTGGGGATCATTTTTAACAAAACATGAACACCAAATCATTCCAACTGACTACACTTCTATCCCTACACTTTCATTGAAAATTCTCAAAAAGTTTGGGAGAATAAGAAAAGAAGAAGATTTGAAATGAGAAGGGATGAGGATGGTGTATGCAAAGAATAACAATAAAGCACATTATTAAAATGATCACCTTACTTTTTTTATGAAATGTTAAAATAAATCATTAACAGGATTAGCAAGCAGTTGAAAAAACATGTAACTCAGGATAATATTTTTTTTTTCCAGAGTTCCCAATGAAATGTTTAATAAAAAACACAGAAAAACCATGGTAATTTTATGAGTTTGTTCTGAAAAAATTACTGAATGAGTGCATAGCATGTAAAAATTTTTAAATCAGTAATACCTAACAATTAACTAACTGAATGTTGTTATTTATTCATTTTATTTCATGCCTTATTTAACAAATAAACATATAAAAAAGTATTTTGTTTAAAAATGATTATACCTGAAGTTTTAAAGCCTGTTTGGCTTTATAGTTGCCTCTGGCCAGAGCAAGCCTAACCCACTCAGGCTTGTCAGGAATAGCATAATGTATAATCTGCCTGCATCCAAGGAGAAGATGCTCAAGGCCAACAAAAATAAGGAACCATGTTTCTGGCTTCAGATCATGACCTTGTGATTTCAAGGCAGGATTCAATGAGAGAAGAGCACAGTTTGTTACAACGCTTAACGTGCTAAGAGCCTGGAAAGCTCTCTGAAAAAAAGATACACTCATCGTTAACAAAAGTAACCGAAAAAGTACATAGGTAAATGTTAGCAACCAGAAACAGCAACCAAAAGATAATGAAAGATGGACATAAATATTTCAGCATCTCAAGTAAAATGTTTTAAGTCACAATTTTTAAAACGCATAATACCGCAATTACAATTTATGATTTAGAAAAAAGGAAAAATCACAAAAGAAGAAAAACTTCCTCCCTCCTTTCTTCTCTCTCACAGTAACACTTGCAAAGAGCTGCTTATTTATTTGAAGATGATGATAATATGCATAATTCATATATTTATACTATATAAAAATATTAATAATAGATTATTTCGTAAAATAGTTATTAATGTTGTAAAAGTTAGTAAGAAAAATAATTTTTAAAATGATATAGTCTAATTTATTTATAGAGATTTAGACAGCGATACAATTGTTCAAGTGTCCATTAAAATTTGTTGTGACTTAACACAGTTTACTTTTAATATAAATTTTATTTATTGGTATAAAACGTTTTTATATCTCAAACGTTTTTATATTTAAAACCCAACTATATTGCGTAGATTTACATCTCCGTAATCAGCTCTGATGATGGCCTGAACTTCAGGTCGAAACGTCGGCTAATGTCAAAATAAATAATATCATTTATTTTTGCCTGCTTATTTGACTGATCACCAAAACTATTCTTCTCTCCATTATTCACAACAGTCAACCATTTACCAATTATAAAAACGTTTTTATATACTACAACTAGGGCAGGAAGGTCAATATATATGTAATGCATAGTAAAGTGGTTGGGATTCGTACAGCTTAGCAGAGGCATTATTACATTATCTTTTTTATGGTTGCAAAAAACATGTCGTTTATATGTATATTTACAAAAATGTTTCCCTTTTTTTAGTTTTTGTGTATTTTGGCCATAATAGAGCTTTTTTTTAAATTAGACCACTCTTAGCCCAATTGGTTTTGGGAGATCCAAACGTCTTTAAGATAAAACTTTTCAAAAGTTAGATAATTATTCATATTTGTGAATTGTTATTTATTTTTCATGCGTAACCCATTTATGATCAACTTTATATTTCCATTAACCTTTTTCAAATGTTTAAGTGCAAATTTATTTATTCATTCATAAAAATTTAAGTAGTAATATGAACAAGTAAAATATTTACAGTAGAATAGATAGCAGGGAAAATCATTGGTGGAACTTAATTCTATCGTCACCTACTAAACAAAAGCTCCTTATTCTAGTTTATAACTAGCAGGAATACTCAATATCTAGATGGGCAATATAGTCAGAGTGTTGCAGTAGTATTAGACAGATTCACAACAGATGTTCATAAAAAGAGTTCTGAATATAGTTATCGAGTACAGGAACAATCCTATCTTGAGGTGATTTTTTGGGGGAAAATTACACTAGAAATATTTTCATATAAGAATAAAAACACACAAAGATCTATCCATCTATTAAAAAATTATATTTACCTGCCAAGCTCCAGTATCCTTAACCTTTCTTGCAATAGGTCTCTGATAAACACGGCAGAGCTTGAATGCGTCACATCTTATTTCTATAACATTGTTAAAAACAGCCCAAAACGCAGCCATGGGATAGACAGCAGAAAACAAATAGACATATCCAAACTGAACAAACATTTCCAGGTAATCATCATATGGATCCTGAAAAAAGAAACAGAAAAAATTTAAATCATTAAATAAACTTCGAAAAAAAAAAAATCATTAATGCATAGTACTTAATGTTTAATAACTTCTCTAAAAAAGTTCATATGCCTTTAAATTAATGAGCTCAAAATCTACTCAGTTTTGTTAACTATAATGATTAATGAACTTCTAGCATGGCTTTTCCTCCTAATTAGAATTTTTTTTAGCCCAAATCAATAGTAAATAATAATAACTAGATAAAATAAAAACCAATCTTGAGTGACTTGTTGCATTTTTATTTTTTTAATACCTACACTATATTTAATATGATACTATAGATGTCTTTTCCGGCTCTCAAGAGCGATGGATTTTGATGAATGAAATATCACATGAAAGGGAATTTCCTAGAGAACAGACTAATTCCAATTTCAAAAGTTAAAACCTCAAACCATTACAATATAGTGTATAGTGAGCAGGTCTGTTGCATCTTTGTTGATTCTATCTATCCATCTGCTTTTTGAACTTCCACATGGTCTTTTGCCTTCTATTGAGGCATTCATTGTTGCGTAGAGGCTTGCAAATGGATTGCTACGAGCTACATGTCCCGCTCATCTCAATTTCCGTGTCTTCATACCATGGAATATTGATTGACAAGTTTCTGTAAGCAGTTTTTTATTGGTCTTTCTTCTCCATGTTTTAGTAGTCTGATCCCAGATCGCTCCGGTTATCGTGCGGAGGATTTTCCTCTCAAATCTTTCAACACTTTTTTCTAGGATGCTGGTTAGTGTCCAGATCTAACAGCCATATATTAGAACTAGCTTTATCATAGCATTGTACACCCATAGTTTAAGATTTCTTGATTTTTTGGGATTTCAATATCTTTGAGAAGGAGAACAAAGCTCTGTTTGAGCTAGTTATACGCTGATCTATTTCTGCGCATTCATTGAGGTTATTGTGGTGCTGTGGTATTTGAATTTTTCCACTCTTGGGAATGATTTTCCTTCTATGCAGATCCTATTATTGGGATGAAATTTTTGGCTTATTATCATATATTTTGTTTTGCTATTACATCAAGTAATAATACATTGCATTAAATTATTTCTCTATTAATTGGTCATTAGTTTACTGAATTATTTACCTGGGCCAAAAACATTGTAGTATGTTTCTACAATATTAAAAATTGGTTAACATCTATATGTTATGAGGCATCTAATTCGAATAACTAAAAATTTACAATTGAATTTGATATAATTCATAATTAATACATATTAGAATTTCGTCTAAAGAGGCTGGTAAAAGGACATTTGATTTATTTTAATAACTTTAGATGGATAAAACTTTTCCGTTACCAATTTATTGTTATCAAAAGTGTTAATTTGTTTGTCAACATTTTGAGGCCATGCTTCATCTTCAGAAGCTCAACTTTGACAATTGTGTTAGAGGCAGGCAGAAAGGCTTGATTTACTCTTGTCAGATATGTGTGTTAAAAATTATTGTAACTAGCGATGGGATTTTCATGAAGTGAAAACTTTAGAAACATGCAGTAAAATTCTCAAAAAAATGTAATGAAGAACTTAAAATTATTAAAAAAGACAATTTTTTACTAACTTAATCCATGAAAAAATAAAACCCCTTTACATTTAATAATGTTTAGGTAATACAATAATGAAAATAAATTAAATACTGTTTCATCATTAAAAACAATCAAGTTAATTATATTCATTAAGTTCAGTACTTAGTAATTTCTAAATGTCTTTCTGTAAAATTATCCCTTTTCTTACCGAGTACAGGTTTAAAACTAACAGCTCCACTGTAAAAGAAATGATTTATATGAGCTTAAAATAGTTGGTGCAGCATCCATATCAGAATTTTCTTTTAAAATTGCTATCTAGTTTATAAATACTAGAAAGTATTACAGATTTTTAAGGAAATTTTGTTTCGAGTCATTGGGGGATTAAAAATATTTGGATTAATCATTTTAAGAGGCTTTTCAGTTTTCATCATGTAAACCAGTCCACCAGTCATTAATGCAAAGTAACGTTTTTCATACCAAAGTTTTGGTAAAATAATTTTTTTTTAAGAGCTCAACAAGAAATAATCGAGTCTGCGTGATGAATCATTTAAGTGAATATTATTTGTTAGTTTCATGGCATTATTGTTTATTCATCAGTCACAGATGAATTTGTAAATAAAATCATGATTTCATATTTAAAATTATAAATGAACAAAAACACAGTTTTGTATAGAAATCCTCAAAATGTCACTTATACACTCCTTCAGTGGAAAAGTCGACCAAGGGGCAGAGAAATTTTAGATTGTTCCTGTCACAAGAGGAACATACTGGTCAAGGATAATGTGAAGGTGATTTATAAGAGTTTCTAATCATGGCAGCGATGGAGTTTAAGAAATAAATAGGATTCCAAAGGATAACTTCGAGATTAAATGACAGAAAGTCATAGGTGGGGGAAATGAAGTTTTGGAAGGATGCAGGTCAGAGGGAAAAATGGATATTGTAGGAATCCTGAATAAGGTCATGGATATAAATGAGAATGGGACGGGTGGTCAAGTGGGATAAAAAAACACGTGTTGCCTGGTAAACCAAAGTTTACTAAATATAAAATAATTATGAGGTCACATCCCAGTTCCGGGAGGGCTCTTAACTTTGACATTAATCCCCCACCCTCTCCCGAGGCCCCGAAACGAACTCTGGCTCTGGAAAATCTCCATATAGCCAAAATCATATGTTATGATGAGGCAAGGAGATTAACTGAGGAACTGGGTGTGATGGCTAGGGTAGCAGAGTTGAAGAAAAGGAGAATGTTTATTAGGTAAGTATGATCAGAGGTAAGAATCAGTAAAATCATGTTAGTCTCCAGAAAAGACAATATGATTGATTTATTAGAATAAGTCAATAATTACATTTTGGATTGAACTGAAATTATAAGAACATTTTAGTAAATTTTGACTTTATTAATCAATAAAATGAAACAGTGTAAAAATGAAATAAATCTTTATAAGGCTTGTAATAAAATATATCAAATTAAAATTGCACAATTTTTTTATTTCACAAAGTGAAAAATCATCAAAGTTCTTAGTGATTTAAGGTTATGAAATGTCACTTAATGGCTTTTTGAAATAAATGATATAAAAGACAACAATATTGAGACAGGAAGGGATTATGTGGTAAAGGGATATCTAAAAATTTTTCAAAGGGTACTCAAATAGGGCAACAGATGATAGTGAAAAGCACAGGAGATGAGATGGAGGAGCAGCAAGAAAGAATTGAAGTGACCTCAAACTGTCCTTTTCATGATTTAGATTTCTGTAATGGTTTGGCGGAATTTGAAGATAGTGAAAAAATAAATCGCAAGAAAATACTGTCTCTAATTATGACAAAGTTGTTAAAATATTACAGAATGACTGAACAGGAGCAGTAGATAAATAGTTTACATAATGCGTAAGGCCCTGAAGATGAGGTATGGTCAACTCTATTCAAGCAATCTCTCCGAACAGCCCTGATGAAGGCCTGAACTTCAGGTCGACACCTCCGGAAATGTTAAAATAAATATTATTATTTATTTTTGCCATTTTATTTCTGACTGATCACCCCAACCATCCTTCTATTCATTACTCATGGCAATCAACCATAAACCCACAATTAGAAATAATTTGTTTGCGATAAAAAACACTCAGAATCATTGGCCTACCAAACCTTAACCATTTTACTTTCCCAGATGACGAATAGAACCCTTTCCATTTTTGACGTCATCATCGAGCCCCTTTTAAATGCCTACCCCTAAATTTTCTAGAGCAGATCAACTTTAGTCACACTTACCGAAGCAATTCTCCACGGCACCTATCACCAAACCATTGTTAGTCATATTCCAATGATCTTGTAACCTCACTTCAATCAATAACTCTTTTAACTTTAACTTTGACACAGCACAAGACTAAGGGTCCTCTGTGAGATTCAGCTCTTTGGATGTGACATTTAGTAGTTACATCAAGCCAGAGGAAATGCAACGTAGATTTAACTAGACCAGTTTTAATCACGTAAATAAAGATCATTTTAGTCAAAGTGTATTCTTTTGAATTATCCTCACATTATTTATAGGATTGGGAAGAGCCTTAACTCTTCACCCTGATGGCAGCAATTATACGATTGTCATTTCCAACCTTTTTTACTGTCCTAATACGACAATATCAATAACTAACATAATAACTGAATAATATTGAAATATAATAATGCAATATGTAGAGGATATTTCTTAAGAATACAGTTAAGAGACACTTACGTCATACTGCTCCATCATTCCTTCGGTTATAGCTTGCTTTATCCTAGAATCTTCTGGATCCAATTCTTTAACTCCTATGGCTTCAATCAATTTTTTAATATCAGTTTTCTTACTATCTAGACTTGACGATGAACTCTTACTTCTCAAACTTGCGAACTAAAACAATAATTTTTATAATAATTTCAGAAAGTAAGCATTATTTTATCATAATGATAAAGAATACAACAAAGAATGATTATTATAATAATAATAATTTAGTACAGTGAAATTAATTAATTGTCTTACTCACAATATATAACAAACCATGCACATGAATTTGTTAAACATGCTATAAAATATTTAAATATCAATTATGTTTTCACTTTCACATACCTATAAGTGAAAGATGTAGTGGGGTAAAGTATTTTAATATCAAAACAATTTAAATTCAAGTTTTCAACAGAAATAACGATCCTCTGTGTTCAAATCTTGAAAATTGCTAGTAATTTTGATCAAATTTGATATATCAATATCTGATTAAATTAACTTTAAGATTAACTTTAATATCAGTTGATCTGAGTGAAAATACTGCATTTTTAAAATGACTTCCTCTAAAGAATTTTTAATTTTGTTTATTTTAAATAATTAATCATATCTCTTAGTAATCTTAGTAATAATAAACTAAGAAGAAATTCCATAATGAACTAAAGCAGAAAAAAAAATTCCAAATTGAAAATAAGAGTAGTAACAAAAATTTAACATATAAAACTCATTACTAATAGTTTTTGTAGTTAATAATTTCTACTTTTACATTATTTAATAGAAAATAAATGTTTTCATAGAAGCTAAAAGAAAATTAAGCTGGAACTAAGTGGAACCTTTTAAATTACTTTTTCAGCTTGGTAGGAAAAAATAAAAGAGTACAGGATTATTGTATTATACAATAATAGTCATTAATTTATATTTATCCTCCAAGTAGGATGGTTTGCAAAATATGAGTGATGTGTACACTAGATTTTTACTTTCACTTGTCTATATATCTAATATATAGTAACGGAAAGTATTGTGATGGTGAAAATTTTTTATCTGAGTTTTCATCGGAAATACACGTTTTGAGGTATCCTGATTCCAAATAACCAAGTTCCACAAAATAGTCTGTCTGTGTGTTTGTGTGGGTGTGAATGGTCTAGCTGAAAAGTGAAAAATCAAATCAAAAATATATGGATGTAATATCACAGCAACTTTTTCCTTAAAATCAACTAACCAGAAATGCCACTTTATATCATTGTATCATTGATTTTACACATTTTTACAATTTTCTCAAAAACAGCTCTAAACGAATTTGATTAAACTGAGTGTATCAATGTATAATTAAGTAGTCTTTAATATCATATAGGTCCCATCCCCATTGATGTAGCTTAACAGGGCTTAGATGCCTAATGTTCAAAATTTCTTTGTCTAAGTACATTTAATTTGGATTATTTTAAATAATTACCTACTACCTCTTATTATTAGCAGTTATGAAAAAAGGCTAAATACAACTTTTGAAAGAATTTAATAATTGAATAAAGGAGAAAAAAAAAGAAAAATGTTTATTTAGGTAGAAAATGAATCTCCAGAAATAATAATCAGAAGGTATACGTATAATATATCATTGAAAAGCAGAGAATTTTAGAAAAAAAACAATAACTAATAAAGAAAGTAGCAGAAGGTAATGAAGAGTGATAAAAAAAGCTTGCGTTGACAAAATCTCAATTATCCTCGCCTTAAAAAAAAATTTATCAAATTCGAGCATTTACAGGACTAGCTTATTGGTACAGAAGGTTTATTTCCGAATTCGAATTTCTAAAAATTAATATTATTTAACGGAAATCACATGTTTCCAAGGAAATTAAATGAGATTTCCTAACTACATGTAAACTTTTAAAATTATTATTAAGTTTGAAAAAAAAGTATATAAAATCCAACGAATCAAAGCATTGTTAAAAAAATTATTTCATTTTCTTGTGTGAAAGAAAAAGTGAAATATAAAAACATTTCAAGGATGTATAAAGTATATGTATATAACCTTAAATACATTTACTGTAGTTTAATAATTTTAGATCTGATATTACATAAAGCTATACTAAGTATCTATTGTTCGTTTATTCTGAAAAATCATCATGTAAACTTTTAGAAAATTATCCACTTACAATTATTTGACAGCTTTTTACCTCTCTAAGGTAGGCAATGAAAATATCGTAAGTCCATTTCAGTAAACTTTACAATAGAGAATAAGTGTTAAATAAATAATAGTTGTACAATCTATAATCATTAATATGTTAAATATGTACTTTCACGTCTCTCTTGTGGCTCAAAGACTGGAGTTATGTAGTTTACAAAAACGGATGGAGTTATGAGGTTTTTATTGTCTACTTTCGATATAATAAAAAGGGTTTAATGTAATTTTAGAGGTCTTAATGATTTGTGAGCTGTAAGCTTTAGCTTCATTACAAATGCACTTATAATGTTTTGTAAATATCCATTCCATAAAAACATTCCAAGAAAATACAAGTTTCCATTTAAAGTAGAGCAGTAAGTGAAAGTTGTGTGATGTGCACAACAGATTTTTATTCATATAAAAAGTAGAACCACCATTTTAAAATCCAAATGTTTTTGCCATGAAAACATAATAAAACAAGAAAAATTGGTAAGGCTGAATTACAAGGTCTGAGTAAGATTTACCAAACTACAGCTCAGAGTAAATATATAGATTAGAAAATAGTATGTGAATATGAGTTGTACAGTTCTCTAACAGATAAGATATGCATTGCAATACAATAGTTCGCTAGACCACACCAACTTTCTCCCCTCCCCCCACGCACAATTAAAGGATCAATTCTTAACTTAACAGAGACTGGGAGTCCACTGAATAAAAGTGAATATTCATTACAAATGTACTGATAACTGAAAGACTGTATTGATAATGTATTGATAAACTTTAAAAACTGAAAGAATTTTATAAGGAAATAATTAATGTATGATTCCTACCTTATTTGAATAACACCTTAAAACAAATGGTAAAATTGCCTCTTGAATGTTATTTATAGCTTGCAGGACAATCAGTAAAGTAGCAAGTTGCTGTGAACAGAAAAAAATATGAAAAAAAAAAACAAATCTTATTATTGAATTGAATAAGTCTGAAAGTAGCAACTTACATATCTTAAGAGGTCCATATCTTGAATGATGAAGGCAATGTAGAAAAGTGACATAAAATTATTGACAAACTCAAATAATACCAATTTTGTGACACGATGTCTATCAAATTGTGATTGAGTCCTATGATTTTCTAAAAAAAAAAAAAAAAAAGCCTTGAACAACAAATTCAATGTTTGCAATATATAATCAATAGTATTAAATATCTAAAAATATTTACAATAGAAAAATAACAGTATTCAAATAATAACGTTAAAACTTTTTTGAGATTTGAGTATATGAATGTAATCATATTTTAATAGTATCCTGATATTTTTCTTTAAAATAGTCTGATAGAACATAGCTAAAATATATACTACTAGGCCATTAAAAAAAAATCCTTATAGATTTAAAAATTAATAGAATAGTTAAGTTTTTTTTCAAATACCCCATTCAGTAAGAAAATTGGCAAATCGCCTGTAAACCATATTCATGGCATAGATAAGACCAGCATAAATAACACTTGGTGCATAAATTATCCACATGGGGGTGTTGGGAATAGTTCTCAACTGGTCTTCCACCCAAAAAGACAGCAACATTATGATGAATGCTCCAATCATACAAACAAAAACAAGCGGCAATGACACACAATACATCTGGAAAAAACAAAAAAAAGATTAAACCATAGGAACAAACAATGGGAATATTCTTTAGTTGATTTTATTTGTTTTTCGCACATTCTAAACAAATACCATATTCATAATAAAAGAGACACAATTAAAAAAAAAACTTCATTTAATTAGAATTAATATTACACAGACAACAAAATCTACATAAAAGCCCTTGAAGGATTTTCGTTTTGTATTAATATTAGATCAACTGATGTGTCAATTGCTTTAGGGTCAAGATTGCCTGATATATAACGGCTGCTTCCAGGGTTGGCAAGGTTTCAACTTTAGAAAAAAAAACATGTATTATGAACCTTTTTAATTTTGTTACCTTAATTGTTGACGGAAAAAATATTTAGGTTTGAAATTTCTTCTATAAGTTTTAGTAAATTAGATGGTAGCTCAATATTTCATCACTTGATAAATATAAAACTTTAAAACTACAAAACAAAAAAATTGATGTTAGTGTCAATTATAAAACTTTTGTAAACTTTATAAAAATAATATATGATATATAATAATTATATAGTCCTAGTGTAGGACTGATGATCTTACTCTATGTATTATTAAGTAATTAAGTTAATGTATTAAGTAAATCGGTAATCGGGATGTGGTTTTCCAGGATGTCAGTAGTCCTTCATAGGTTTGGTCTATAGACACAATGTTGCAGAGAAAGAAATATAGGTCCTCATGTGCCTACTGACTCTGAGCAGTCATAATCCATGGATCTAGACCAATTTTCCACTATCATCGAACCCGAAAGAGGCAGTGGGAAGAACACGGCCAGATAAGTCCCTAAGGGGTCGGTTATGGAATTATGGGTGGCTTGCCATTGCACCATGGAGACCATGGTTCATAGCTACTAGTGGTTGGATGAACCCTTCCAGGTTAACCGAGATCCGTCTCACAAAAAATATATTTCTGTAAGAACACATATTGTGGCCAAAGAACTACATGGTCTAATGCACCAAGCAAAAACAAAAAAAGTATCGAAAAATAAATAACAAAAGTAAATAACTGTTTCCAAAGTATTTAATATGCCATTAGATTTGGTGGTCTTTATTTAAAAAAAATAAATAAAACTTTACCTTAATATGCGTTTTGAATCTTGGAGCTTGTGGCAATAACTTCCCAGTTACAGCATCTACACCCATAGTACCTCGAAAATTTGGACGAGGTTCATCAAAGCTAGTCATCGATATGGTACCCCAAAGATAAGCTAGTTCAGAACATTTACGGCGCCAAAACTAGACAAATCACTGAATAAATTATTAATTTAAAAAACAAAATAAAAAATACACCAACATAAAATAAGTCTTACCTCCAGAAAGAGTGTCGCACAAACAACATTCAGAATACTAAATACTGCCACTGCACCAGGATCAACCACCATTTGTAAAAATCCAAGTAAGGTTGGTCCAATAAGAGATATTGTATAAAAGCCAATAAATTGAAAATATAATGCTACTGATTCTCCAAAATATACTCGAATTTCATCTAAATCAAAGAAAAAATATTATTAAGGTGATAAAAAAAAAGAACAGATAATTTATTTTAAAATGCATCTTTACCATAAGGCTGTTGTTCAAATAACCTTTTGTACCAGCGGGCACCAAGTTTCCTTACAGCTTCTTCATCATGTAGTGGATACATTTTCTTTATGATCCCATAATAAAGACATGCCATCACTAAAATAAGAGAATAAGATATAACACAATCATAAAAAAAAAAAAAAAAACATGAAAGGTCATGGGTCCAGTATTTTGTAAGAAAGTGTCAGAAGTTTGGAATTCCTGTGTCAGAATGACTAAATTCCTCAGGTTTTTACCCAAATTAAGGATATCCATTTTATAGAGATTGAGAATGCCTCAGATGTCTCCAGATCATAGGGTTCATCCATGGCTGATATAAAAGAATGAATAATTATCTGCCAGTTGGAATCAAACCTAGGTTCACAGTGACTTACACAAAAAGATAGTCCACTCATGATATACCTGTAAGAGATATAGCCATGCTAGGCATACCTAGCTCGTGTTTAAAAAAATGCATACAGTGATACAAACTTAATTCCTAGTTTTTATTATGTAGTACAAGTCTTAGTTATACATTAGAAATATGTGTGGCTTCATATCATGGATGGACATCTTTCATTTTCAGAGAGTGAAGAATGAGTCAATCTTTGTTTTATAGATTCAACTCAAACTTGGATGAAAACTGTTACTGATGATTTTATTTAAGAATGTTTAAGTTTAATCATACAAAATAAAAATTATTATAATTGGTTAAAATTGAAGCTGTTACAAAATTGGCTTTTTCTCAATTTTTAATTAATGACAGTGATCCATCTTTGATATGAAGCCACTCATATACGAGTTACACAAATACATACTTAGACATATCTACTTTCAAATCTCTCTTTGTATATAGAGCTTCTGTTTCTGAGTGAAAAGTGGCTAGTAAATTAAATTTAAAAAATAACTTACTAATGGACTGTCCTTCATAAAGAGAATAGTGTGGATAGCCCATAATGTTACTCTCATTTGAAAGAGCTCGAATATTTTCTATTTCATGCCTGACAATGGTTTGTTTTTCCGAAGTTGTGAGGAACTCATCCATTCCATCAACATCAGTAAATTCACTCAATTCATCCATGGTAAACTCCCTCAAATTCCCATGCTTGTCACGCTTCCTAACTTCAAGGTCTTCAGCAAGCCCGAGAAGTGCTTTGTTATGAGCTGATACATGTATTATCAAATTCTAAAATAAAAATAAAAATATGTACGAACTACTCGATAAAACTCAGAACAAAAAGGAACGATTGCACAATTTACTAACCGAATCATTGCCTGATGGATGGCATCTAACAAGTAATTCTGCACCTCCCTTCTTTTTTTCTTTTGTAATTTTTTCAACAAGCCATTTAGCAGTTTCATGTTTAATTTTACGATTGAATTTTATAACTATATATGAAGGAGGAAAGTTTTTATCACCTTCTTTCTTATCTAAATATTGATCCATATCTGAATATTTTGTATATTTAAAATTTTGGATTAAATAAAAACTAAATTAATGAAATCATTAAGGTAACTGAACTCAATTCAATCCAAATTGAATGATAACACTAAAAAAAAACTTGATACTAAAAAATAAAACAAATTTGATACTAGGTTCCAACTGAAATAATTATAAAGGGGACCAAATGTGAAGAAAGTATATATACAATGATAAGATAAGACATAAACAAGTACAGAGAGGTTACACACAGAAATGTCTCTGTTAAAAATAAACATCAAGGGACAACATCATAATAAAAATGGAACACAACCAAATAAACCAAATAATAAGAAGCAATGGTTAGGAAAGATTTGAATCAATAGAATTAACAATTCACTCTAAAGTAGTTAGGAGCAACTTGGAATGATCACATTCAAGATAAAGAAAATTAATTGGAAATTAGACTTTATGTATAAAACTAATTGGTTGTCTATAAGTATTAAAGAAATAGGGTAAGTATTTATCTGACAATGAGAAGCATGGATTATGCTTGTAATAACTTCAAAGAGGAACTCAACAACCTTTAAATACTGCCAAAACTACAGTGCCAAAATTTTTGATCTTGCTTCAACGTATTGTCATTTGATTTGACACCTCTATTTTTAAAGCTTTTAGCTTAGATGGGAGTGATGTGGCATTTCAAAATTGAATTCTGAAAATGAACCATGAGATTTAAGAGGTAAGTTTCCTAGTATAGGACGGCAGGTTTCATTTAGGTTTAGAACATCGAAAAACAATATATCGATATAATAGCAAGGAAAAAGCCATTATTTTCTACCTGTTAAAGAACTCAAGGTTAGTGAAGTAATAGGCTATTAAATTTAGAGATCTTGGAAGAATTTTTTTTTTAAGAAGTTTTTATAAAGAGATAATTCTTCAAAGTTCTTAATTATTTAAGTTTTTGAAGTGTCACTTTATGAATTTTTGCAAAAAATCGATGATATAAGATTTTATATTTCATTTATTTATATTATGTAAACTATTTGTATTTTTCTCTTAGCTTATTGAAACAGGAAGGTGGTGAATTACTTTTATTAACTTCTAACTAATTGCATTGCACCTAACCTTTGTGTAGAAACATTGCACATCACACCGAGGAATGTACATTACATCAAAATGTAAAGCAATTGAGAAAGAATTGCACTTTCAAAGTCGTTTCAGTTGAAGAGTGTAACAACTTGTACGTAAGAGATGTTTTTATAACAGGTCTAACTAGTAGATAGGACACCAAATTATCTTGAAAAAGACGAATTTTAAGACCAGGTAGCACCGTAAAGTGAGAGAATGACCTGTCCCATGGTGGTCGTCGGCCTTAATCATCCTGGAGGGCGCTACAAGGCCCGGTGGGTATATAGGAGATTTAGTAACCAAGAAAGGCGTGGTGCACTTCGTGATGAGTACAGTTCTAAGACTAGGGTATACCGGAATAAGGTGCTCTCACAGAAACGAAGATCATTCGATGAATTCATCCAGAAAGAGTCAGCGAAGAATGCCTGGGTGGCTCTTGGAAAACTGACCACACAGCAAGTCATTGCAGCCCTGAGGCAAGGAGGCACTCAAGCAGCCACACTGGAGGAAACAGCAGAGATGTTTATAAAAGAGACATATCCTAGGGATGATCCATCACACGATGACCATACATTTGTAAGACGAGTCACTGTATACCCGCTTGGGACCAACCTGTGACGTTTGAGACCTACGTAGTGCCGTGAAAAGGCAAAAGACTGGCCGAGCTCCAGGTTTAGATGCAGGAATGCTCAAGAATACTATTCCCTATTTAGAGAATAGGCTGCTTGCATTTCTCAACGATTGCCTAGCTAGAGGATACCTTCCAAGAGGCCGGAAAATTGCTGATGAAGGACTCTTCTACAAAGGAAGAGACAAGGACCATACAGACCTATTTGTCTCTTCCCTGTAATGCGCAAGGTATTGGAATACCTGGTGGTCTTCATCCTTCGGCTTGTCTTATCAAGATAGAGCCATCCACGGCAATTTGGATCCACTAAGATAAGGGAACCGCAGATGCCATATTGAGAGTGCGCCATGACATAGAAGAAAGAGCGGAGAGGTATGTTATGCTTCTCCTGTTTGACATACCCTCTGCCTTTGACAGCGTGTGGTGGCCGAGTGTTCTCCAGCAACTCCAGAAGTATGAACCTCTCAGTAACTTGTATGATTTAGTGAAAAGCTATCTCCAGAACCGGGCATTGAAAATTAGAGGCTTTTTCTTTGAAGAAGAAGACACCGTCGAGAAGGGCTTTGATGAGTTGCTGGAGAAGTTCGTAGAGGAGTGATCCCCTTCCACGGCCTATGTTGACGATAAATGATAGCCTTCGGAACAGTGCCTCATGGGGTGGTAAAAGTAGTGGCAGAAGGAATACCTCTCCATCTCCTCCTGCGAGAAGACTTGGCTTCTATAGAATGAAAGGAGATGGATCGGCGGATCTACTGGAACATCCAAAGATGAGAATTGATGAAGACCCAAGAAGATAGAAGAGAATTATCAGGGAGGACACAGTTGATTAAAGGAACCGGTGATGGATGACAACTGCGAAGGGGGCTACCCCTAAGGAAGTACATCTCGACGGTCAAGTCACGATTAGATGCAAGATGAGTCCTCACATTATTTGAAATTTTCATGCGAGTGGAAAGATGCTGTACGCCTTACACATTTTAATCTGGAAAGAAGAGAAGAAACTTAGACGAGCTGCAGCAGCTGCTTCTAGGATCGGCTTCAGGTGGTAGAAGGAGGAAGAACGGAGAAAAGGAAAGGTGTGGGCTTGTGCACAGCCGTCACAAACGTGCTGATCAATTGCGGTTGAATCCAATACAAACCACCACCTGCTTTGAATTTTCTCGCCAGAACTAAAATAACGTCCCCGAATAGTCAGCTTTGATCAACGGTTTTCTTTTCACACCTCAAAGTCAAACTTCATCGCTGCTGAGAGGAAGAAAAGCGGTCTATACTCCATATTGCTGATTCCACACAACAATGAACCTTTAGAATAAACACCCATACTATTGAAATGTTGAAAATCACACCTTTAGTCACAATTTCAAGCCATGAGGGAGATCACCGAATTCGGACGGAATAAGTGACCTATATTAAAACTATTGCTACTCAGTTGACGCAGAATTTATTAATCTACAACTTTTATTCTATGCGTTTTTTTTTTTTTTTCATGAGAAACTCATTTCCTTGCTGCAGGGCTATTTATAGTAATTTGTCTCAGTTTTTGTCCAAAATCATCATTCGTTGACAGTGGTTTTCGACCATATCACTTAATCAACATATTAAATTTAGGTACTCGATCTTATTATTAAGCATGAGCTTAACGTTCTTTAATTTCTTAAAGAGTACGTTTTTCCCTTATATGGAGCGACGGCTCTGTACACGCGGTGAACACTGTTTGTTGAATTCAAATCTTGGTATATTCCCTGAACAACTAATCAAAGCTACAAGCTTTTTTAACGCCTTAATTCATCGCTCCTCAGAGCCAGAAACGTATTATAGTACTGTACTATCGTATTATATTTAAAAATCAGATTTTGAGTAAATTATGATTAAAGTATTAAGGTTAAATTACTGTCTTGTTAATGTTGTATATTCTATAAAATGGTGTTCTATATTGCCTGGTATTCTATAGTTAAACAGATTTTTACCGTGCTAAAAATGTTTTTTTTTATTTTTAAAATTATGAGTAACATTTATACCTTTTTACTACTATTTATTTATTTTATTATTATCACGGTGATGAGTGTTGGCCTCCTCCACCAGCTTTCTCCAGTCATCTCTGTTCTGTGCGTAAATCATCCAGCTCCTGACTCTCAGGACATCTCTTGAATCTCTTGCCACACCGCCTGGTCATCTTAGTGTTGATCTCCCTCTTCTTCTTGTGCCGTAGAGAGGTTCTGTCAGGATCATCCAAGGGATTGCTTCCTGTCACATGACCAGTCCATCTCAATCTTCCAAGCTTCATCCTCAGAACATCTTGATTTTTAAGTTAAGTAAATTTCGGCATTTGTCCGCCTTCTCCAATTTCCATCAATCTGTACTCCTCCAAATATTCTTTGAAGAATTTTTCTCTCAAAGATTAGGAGGTCTTGCTCATTTTTTTTTTTAGTTGTCGTCCATGTTTCTGAAGCATAGAGCAGAACTGGGCGGATTAATGTTTTATAGAATACCATTTTACTATCAACTAATATATATTGATAATTAAGGAAAAAAAAACTAAAAAAAAGTGTATAATCACTATATAGGATTTTAATTATCAGATTTATTCAATTTTAAGGTTCAAGATTCACCCAATATGGTGTTCTTTTATTTATTTATTTATTTTTTTTTTTGATTTTCATGAAAATATAAATTGTAAGACTTCGCCACCATGTATAGATTTATTAAAACCTTTCAGATTTATTCTATTTAAGGGACCATTATTACATTATGGGAGCCGCTTTTTAAAGAAAAATTCTAATGGTGTTAAGATCATGCCTTCACGCACTATTTTAAATTGACAATATTTTTAAAGCCTGAAGACGATCTGCGAACACTGTTTATTGATGCAAAGCATCACACACTGTATTACTCTGATGGCGGAATAAATAGTATTACAAGTAGTTCGTCAGGTTACCGCCGACAACGATATCTTGTTAGATCGTTTTCACAGGCATTCTGTGTGCCTGACTTAATCAAATAATGAACCTGAATATCGAAGAACTTCAATATTTTGAAATAAATTGGAATATAATCATTTAATCTTAATATCAGCAACGTTAAAAAAATATATATATAATTTTGTAATTACAACGGTAAAATAAAAAATATTTATATTTAAAAAATATATTTATTTCTATTAAATTAATATTTTTATTGGTTAATAAACCAGTAATGCGGTTGAGTGTGAGGCGCTGGGATCTTTTAGAGTCCTGCCATTCCTTCCACGAGGGGGAGGGGGGGAGGCTTGGCTCGAAGATCTTTAATGAGACTGAATTTTGAAAATATTGTCTGAAATCATGTGTGGTATTTAAGTAGTTATTTCGATTAGTTTAGTTCTGTTTATTTTAGTTTACATCTATTTAATTTTAGTATTATTATTTTGCTGTTTATTTATTTTTATTTATTGTGCATAGAGTGTGAATGAGTTACTCTTCTACCACTATTACTATTATGCTTAGATGTGACAGATTGTAATATTTCTCAATAAAGAATTGAAATAAAAACAAACAAAACAAAAAAAAAAGTAGTAAAATGAAAATAAGATAACATAATAACACAAAAAATGATAATTCAGCAAATAGCTCAATGCAATAAGTCTCTTGGTCAACGCCTCCAAAGATTACCACTTTAAAATGAGTGTGACAAGTATTTCAAAAGTCTAACAATACCAGGTACTTTTCAAACTTGGAACCTTACAGTATTGCAGGAATAACTATTGTAAAGATTTGTTACGCATTATAACTACACCCATACATATGAACAAGGTAGTAGTAAACTCTAGAATAATTAGCAGGTTTGCCAACTTCCTAAACCAGAAATACGCGAACAAAAGTCCGATTTGGGTCGCAATAATTTCCCTTACAACATATTTCATATATGGCTAAGTGAGGGGTGGAATGGCCGAGTGGGATAGAGCGTGTGTAAAATACTTTCTGCTCGTCAACGTGATAAATCGAAGATTGCGAGTTAAAATCCCGTTGCCGGTGAGGATATTTAACTGTAGTATTAATTCTTCGCCCTTTCTTCTGACCAGTAAAAAAAAAAAATAACGTAAAAGGCGAAGAAGTGGATAAAAATAAAAAT